TTTTCGTCGAGTTTAATTTAGTTTTTTGCTAAAATAGGTTATGGGGTGACCATCTTTACTTAGCACAGCGTCAATGCCTATGCCGAAAGCATCACACTCAACCTCAAATGGTAGGTTGAAATCAGGTAAGGCAAGAACTGGGGCTTAAGTTACATTTTCCATCAATATGTCGAAGTTAATCTGGGCTGTGACCGTCCATGTGAATTCTTTTCGTTTCAATAACTCCGTGAGAGGGGCGGTGAAGTGTTGAAGTTGCAAACAAAACTTCGGTAGGAGGCCAACCCCAAAAATTGGCGAAGCCAGTAAAATATTGTGTTGTGGTCCAGCTTACGATTGCCTCGATTTTTGTTGGGTCTAATTGTATCCCCGTGCTAGACACAATATAGCCCAAAAAACAGACTGTGTGTGAGGAAGTGACACTTCTTGGGGTGGGAGTACAATTGCTTGGATCGTAGGACCTCTAATACCACACCTAGGAGCTACAGGTGTTCTTCTTGGGATCTACTATAAACCAAGATGTCACTGAAGTAGACAACCATGAATTTCCCAATATGGGCTTCAAAAACTTGATTTATTAAGCGCATGAAGGTGTTGGGCGCGTCGGACTAGTCGAAAGGCATGATTGTCCATTCATAAAGGTCATCTCTTTTCTTGAAGGCGGTCTTCCACTCGTCTCCTGCTCGCATTCTGATTTGATAATAACCACTCCGCAAGTCAATTTTTTAAAAGACGATGGCGTCGTACAATTGATCCAAGAGATCATCAAATTGTGGTATGAGAATGCGATATTTGATTGTAATTTTGTTGAAGATGCGACTGTTAATGCACATTCGCCAGAAACCATCTTTTTTGGGTACAATGAGGGCGCCGACAAGAGCATGGACTAGTGTTTTCGCGGCTAATCCTCTCTTAAAAAGGTTTTGCATCTGACGTTGGAGTTCCTCGTACTACGCAGGTCGTAATCGGTAAGCGGGTCTATTTGGTAGGATTGACCATTGTATAAGATCGATGGCATGTTGGATGTCACGTAATGGAGATAATCCGTCTAGGAGATCGTCGGTCATGACGTCTTGGAAATCATGTAGAAGTGGTTTAAGTTGTGCGGGTACCTCATCATCTGTGCCAGTACCTTCTAGGAGGACGAGGACTAGTGCTATAGGTGCATCGCGAACTGATTGTAAGAAGGCATCCCGTGAGATTAATACGCCTTCAGTGTCAATCATGGTCCACGCATCTTTTATAGGCAATAATATGTTGCATTTTCCATCCTTCTTAAATGCGTATGTGTTTTTGAAGCCATCATGTTGTGTTTTTTGGTAGAATTGCCATGGTCTCCCCAAAAGGAAGCCAGCGTCCACTAGGACTACATCACATCACACTTACTCTTGCAGTTGGTTGCCCATGAAGAATTCGACTAAGACTTGTTGATCGACGTGATTCTCGTTCCCTTTTTGAGCCAGATGAGAGTAGGATTGCAAAAGTTTTTTTTTGGCTAAGACAAACTTCTTGAACATTAGGGTAGATACGACGTTTTCGTAACTACTGTCATCGATGATTAAACTGCAAATTTTGCCCTTGACAGTGTATGTAGCACGAAAAATGTGCGCAGTCATGACAAATCTCTATCAAGTTTTGACTGAAGAATTCTCCATATGACCAATAGTTCGTCTTCGTCCCAACAGAGAGGAAGTGCTTCTTTTGAACCATACTTAGATTGGGTTTCCTCGATTTTCTCGACCTCTTCAACAACGCCTTTTTCAGTAAAAGTGGCAACGCGGGTGGTGAGGAAGTTGGCGGAGATGTGGCCATACCTGTGGCACCTAAAACATTTTCATGTGGGAACTGTCCCGGAGGAACCTATCGAGTTTCGTGCCGCTCGTTGTGGTTTTTGTACTTCTTGGTACTGACTTGTCAACTTCCAACGTAGACTTGAGGGTAGATATGGTTTGAGGCGATGGTTTGAATGTCGACGACTGTCGGAAGGATTTGTGAGAGTTAGCTTGCTTCTATTGTCTTTCTACTTTTGATGCAAGTCTGGACATCGTTTAGCGCCTGTATGGCCAGAGTTGTACATTGTTGCTAATGACGTGTTTTTAAGCCTTCGAGATAGCGGGCAAAAGGGTGCTACTCTTGCTTGATCAGGTTGTACTTCATCAATAGATGATCAAATTGTGCCATGAATTCCTGAACAAACAGATCACGCTGCTGCAAGTTATAGAGTCGGAGGAACATATTCTGGCAAAAGTGGGGCGACATGTTTTTTTTTTTTTTTTATTTTGCATTGCCCTCTTTGTTTTGGCCCATTTAGTGATCTTGTCGTCCCCGTCGCGTTGATGTTGCTGTTGCAAGTTGTCCCACCATAACAATGTGCTTTTCTTCAATTTGATTGTAGCAAGGTTAACTCATTTGTCCTCGGGTACCTACTTGTAGTCAAATATGTGTTTGATCGCTTGCAACCAGTTTATAAAGTAGTTGTGGTCCATGCTTCCATCGAATTCCGGTACGTCTGTTTTGATGCCGAAATTTTGATGGGTATCGAACATGGGTTACTTGCATGGCCTCTTGTGATAGTGAATGCCAAACCGACATAGGCGATAATCATCATCGCCAAGAAACGGATTTAGGTTGTCCTTACGGTTTCCTCTTCGACTCTCGATCTCATGATCGATAGTAATGTCAACTTGAGTCATGTCGTTCATCTCGACCCAATGTTGTTGTAAGCAGCAAATCTCTTGTTGAATTTCCTCTTGGGTTCGGTTCGGTGCGTATCGGCGTGGCAGCATGATCGGAAGTGATTTGGAAAAGAGACGAGGGATGGAAGAAGGAAAAGACAAGAGAAGAGGGGGCAACAAGAGGAAGAGGTAAAAGAAGAGGGAAAAAATTTTGGGTGGCTTGGGCAGAGGCAGATACTAGGGACCCCTAGGTTAGGACTAAGGTTGAGCTGACTCTAATACCAAATGATATAGGATTTAACTCAAATCACGAATCGGACATGACAAATTTTATTGCAGAATTTAAGAAAGAGTACAATGATGAATGCTCACAACAATAACGCATAAACGACATAAAACATAAACAATAATTGAAATAATACATAAATGGTAGAAGAAATAGCAAAGCAGAATTTAACTAAGCAAGAAACATAAACAGTCTTGTAAGGTGGTGGAACCAGTGATGCAATGAGCTGTAGAGGCTGACGAGCCGCTGTAAGGCGGCGGGGGGGGGGGGGGAGGGGCTAGGTGGACTCAGTGGCTGCTAGTACGACGCACGCAGCGTCAAACATGCTCCGAGAGGTGGAACGGTCTGCTGACAAAGTTGACAGAGAGCTTGGCGGGTGGGAAGGTGTCGTCAGGAATCGGCGGAGGTCGTTGCAGGGACCCTGAAAGGCTGACGGCCGGCTAGTGGATGCAGGGAGGAGTGTTAGGACAATGACTGGGGTGGGGGAACGATGAGACTCGTAGCAGGGAGGTGACCGACAGGCAAAAGGGTGGAGGAGCAGTGCTGAAAGGATGCCAACAGCAAGGTAAGGTGGGGGAGGTAGTCACCACCTCAGGCGGGATATAGCCGAAGCACCATCTACCGTCAGATACAGCCCTTGAAAGAGGGAATTCCTTGGAGGCAAACCTGGAACATAAAATCACAAAGAAAATCCATTGTTTATACCCGAGAAAGAAAGTGTATAGATAGGGAAGACGGGAGACAGCCTAGGAAGGAAAGAGGAGAAGAAATGGAAGGGACTTGAAGAGGTGAGAAACGACTAGGAGGCTCAGGGGAACATTAGGGTGTGGGGAGGAGGCAAGCTGGGCGTGAGAATTGAGATGGAGAGTAGGAAAAGTGATTAAAATGAAGCAACAATTTAATCTCGTGGATTGGAGCAATGTCACGCTCGACTGACGGACGTGGATTTGGACCACCCTGTGTCATTGAAGGAGATGACGATTGTGTTCGAATTTATAAAGAAAAGGCTAATGTATGTATGTGTCTGTGTAATTTTCTTTTATTGGCATAAAATTTACCATTTTTTATTTGTCCAAGAGACATTTTGTAATTTTTTACTTTGTTGCCTTGGGAACTCGGAATACATTTAAAGTTCATTCCCCTCGCAATGTCATTTGTAGTGGAATAAGAATTCAAATATTCAAGTTTGAAGGGAGGACTATAGGGTAGCGCTTCGGTTGTCGCCATTTAGCTCCACCTCAGCAAGAAATGGGAAGAAAAATTAAGAAAACCATGTTGGTTGCTTTGAAGTGGTCCAAATTCTAAGTTCCTGACATTCTTTATTGCTCTTGTAAGTTTTGTTCTCTAATTTCCCTAGTTATAAAATGATATAAAGTCCCATAAAGATGTCACCGATAAACTCCAACTCCATGCTAAAGAAGTCATGATTAAAGAAAGTAACATAAATTTAATGTTTAAAACAACACCATGTGATGTACGAGCAACGAAATCAAAAATTTCATGCCTTCAATTTGGATTATAATAAAAAACACTGAGAAATAGATAACCATTTCCATCAAACACTACAAAAATAATCTAAAGCGGAAAAACACTACTCACAGTTTACCAAGTGAAAACCAAGAAGACATTGCCTAGATTTTAGAGAGGAAGCTATCACAGACTTTGAACATGGCATGAATCTAGGTGACTTCATCAATTGGTCGTACACATTTTTTTTTTTTACATACAAAACTGTAAAAGGCAACCCTATATATCCATATATCTCTATATATATATAGTTTCATCACAAATATAGCAAGTCCAACACTTCCACTTTTTATTTTTATATTATAAAATCATATACGGTAAATGGAAATTCTGATTTCTACGTGTGAAATATCCGTTTGAATAGAGATATTTTCATATCAGATAGGTCGGTACCTCAGAAGTATCAGATAACTAAACTTTTTGTTATTGCACGATGAAAACAATAACCGTCTACAAAAATTAAAATTGTAGAAAAAGTTTACTTGTTCACTGAATAAAAAATTTCAAGTACGTACATGCTCTCCAGATGTTTTAACTTGGATATATCACTCGGCAAAAAGCCCTTTAAACCTTGGTTATCAAGTCCACTGCAGGTCAAGAAGAAAAAATTTCAGCTCCATGGACAAAGAAGAATGACTGAAGTAAATTCAAATATTTGTAACGGCACATAGTGCGTGGTTAATAAAACTAAAACAAATTTAAAAGAAGGAAAAGTTATGAAGTGGTTACCGAGATTAAAGAAGTTAAAACAGCTCAAAACAAAATGCATCCAACACAACTGAATAGCTAATGGGCCATTTAGGATTTTTTTCTTTTTTAAGTTTTGATTTGAAATAAAACAAGCTTGATAGTGGTAGTTATTTGTAAAAACATTCAAAACACCTTGTTTGGAGTGTTTTTCAAAATAAATAAATAAATAAATAAATAAAAACTAACCCAACATTTTATTAAATGTAAAACAAAGCAAAAAAGATTCCAAATAAACCATAAAGCTCTGAGTTACAAAATCTTGGCCCATATTTGTACATCAACATCAAAAAACATGGCTTAGTGTCAATGAAGAAGCCTTAAAGACGACCATGTCGAAGCAATCAACTAGTGAACAAAAGCTAATCTTGGTCATGAAGTTGAGACCTTAAGCTCCTTTGCCTACTTTTTCAACAAAAAATCATCTCCTTTTGAATTGAAGACATTTTTTTTCCTATCAACTATGAATAAAATTGTAAGAAAAAAAAACGGACATCTCATTTGCACTAACATATTTAGCACTCATTCACTATAAAATGATTTAGCTTCAATCCACCGTCTAGTACTTCCAAATATTTTATTGGTAATCATATAAAATGGAGCAGTGAGATGAATAATAAGCATGATGGGGCACATGAATCTGTTTCCTTGTGTTTCTCTCAGTCTACATTTTATGCTATGAAAATTTATAAGCATTAAAAATAATTTCATCGCTTAATTTGTAAACTAGTTATTTTTTGTTAATGATTTCAAAAACACTAAAGGAACAAAGAAATGGAAAAGATATTTATTTTTTGTTAATGAATTCAAAATCACTAAAGGAACAAAGAGAATGCAAATACTTCTCCATCCAATTGTATCTGGTAATCACCTAAATTACATAGATAGCACTCAAAACTTTTCTATTCATGATACTAGCACCCTAGTTCATCCGTTTTTCAAATTCTCACTCTAATATCAAAATTCACAATAAAAATCTAAACCTAGTTTTGTAAATATCAAAGTTTCTATGAATATAATTCTCCGGTGTGTGTGTGTGTGCGCGCGCGCGCGCGCGTGCGGGCGTGAGCGGGGTGTGTGCGCGCATGCATGCAATGCTATCCCAAAAACTGAGGCACAAAATATGTCAACTTGAACTTGCTTCACAAAAGTTGAAATCATGAGATTTAGTGAATTTATCGAATGGTTGCTCTTGAGAAGCATGGATAGAATATAAATAATAGAAGAGGCAATCTATTTACAAGATAATCAATTTCAATATGTTTGGTCCACTCATAATAGACATCATTCAGAGTAATGGCAATTGTGCATTATTGTAATAATCTAACGAAAGAAGGAGCAACATAAACACTATTCATCAACAAAATTTCAATAAATCTCATTATAAATGAAGCTCAATTTAACATACTTGGTACAATCACACTTTATCAAAAAATCCACTAAATCAAAGCAGTGTTCAAGCAATGCATCAAATTTTTCTTGAAAACAATATGAAGTCTTACCCTTATTAGAAAAAGAGACCATCAAACAATAAAAACTTTCAGGAACTAAATTAATTGTTCCTTCAAAGATGAGGGTGTCAGTATTGCACAACTAGAGAGTAGTTCTCCAGGCAAAGTTGACATCATTGTGTTAATATAAGTATTGGTCTAAGAAGATTATAAGATAATTAAGCAAAAGTAAATTTTTTCCTGAAAATGACATGGTGAGAAATTCAGAGCCACTGTAATACAGGATCCTGATAAGGGTAGCTCTTAAACTCAAGGTTGCAGCATAATAAATAGCAAATATGAGATTTCCTTCAAAGTTTCTTTCACTCTGGAGGACAAAACAAGCACACTCAAAATAAAAAAGAAAGATTTACATACACAACACTCAATTCTTATGTATTTACATATCCAACACCTAACCTTCAATTTTCAAATGTATGCCTCCTTACCGGTGCATGAAAAGGCGCATTTCACCTTTTAAAAGTTAAAATAGTGGTATTTTTTTATGTGATCTGAATTATTTGGGGTGTAAATGTAAAAGTAAAGTTTAGGCGTTAGATACGTAAATACATAAGAATTGGGTGGTATGATGAAAATGCCCCAATCAAAACTATGGTCATAGATCCTATCATTGAGACGATCATAATGAGACTGATGTGACATAGTAGTAGTAGTAGAAGAAGAGATTTGATTAATATATTTGTTGTTGTGAGGGTAGCCTCTCTCCAAAAATATTTAGGTTGGAGCCAGACAAAAGCAAGACACAAGTAATGCTAAGAAAATAATAGTATTTGTGTTCACTTCAACAATTTTATATCAAGTGAGAAAAAAAACATGGGATAATGTTGCAAAGTTGAAAAAGTGATGGAGTGGTGCGGAATACTTGACTTCGAAAGCATTATAAAAACACAGAGTTTTGGCATGGCAAGAAAACTAGATATAAATAATATCAGCAAAATTAAAATAAATTAAAAAAATTTGAAACCATTTTTTAAGCAAACATATGAGAGTAAAAAAAATAATCAATATTGAATATGACAAAATATTGGGATCCACCAGTTGAAGTGAACAAGCTTAAAAGTATAATAACACAAGTCATTATGATGAAAGGATAATACAAGGCTTTGACAGCCAAAAAGAAATACTAGTTATGCTATAATGACGAGACACTAAATGGCTGCCAAAAAAAATATTATGAAGAGACTCAAAAGTGACATGACCAAGATGCGAATGACAAAGACTAAGTGGCATGTTGTTAGTACAATCAGCATATAAATTGGTTTTAGATGAATGCAAATTAGACTGAAAAAAAAAAAAAATCACATCCCAATTCACATAATTTTTAAAAAGACAATGTTTAAATAAAATGTTTTTTAAACTCAACCGTAATATACCTCATCTATTAAGAGAGGTGGATGACAATACTAAATCATAAGCAACATAATATGCCATGGCTTATCAAAACCTTTTATGGATAGCTTTATGCCATTCTTAATGAGTGCTACATGAGGTGTTGAACAATTGCATAATTCTTCGTACAAATATCTAGAGCAACATGATATAAAAAAATAACAATTTCAGGCCTTTAGTTATTGAAATAATTTGGGGCAATGCTATGTTTAAAACAAGTTATACAGTTTAATGGGTAAAGAGTAGTATGAATTGGTGATATCTTTTGAAATTCAACTCAATTATCATTTACCTGGAAGGCCTTAGGGGTTTGGTGTTATTTATCATGCTTAATATGTGGAGTAATAAAACATACTACCATATTGAAAGTATTGTTACACTCCTATTCTATATTTAGTGGTGTGACCACCAGCCCTAGACTTGGAGTAGATCCCTTAATACCTTATATAATTTTCAATATTTCACTATTTCAAATTTAAATACATAATTATAATTTAATATTAATCATAATTTAATTATATAAAAAATAAAAATATCACAATTATATTTATTATTTCAAATACTTAATAACCATTTTTATTTCTCATAAATGTTAAAATTGTCTTCTCCCCTTGTGTGTCCGAACCTCATAACTCTCATATTCTCTTCTTCCACACCCAAGTTCCTAAAACCCTAATATTCTCACCCTTTAACAACCAATTCCTGAAACTCTCATCATCTCCTCTTCCATGCCCAATTTTTCAAAACCTTCATTTTCTCCCCCATTTCACCTATAAACTCTTGAAACCCACATCTTCTGCCCTTCTTCTCCCCTTTCACACCCAAAGCACCGAAACCCTCATCATCTTTTTCAGTCACACTAAATTTCAGAAACCCTCATGTTCTCCCCTTCCACACCCAAATTCTCGAACCTTCAAGATACAACGCCTCCAATACAACGCCTCCAAGAGATCACAAAAAAAAAAAAAACAAAAACAATGAAAAGCTAAAACTAAACATGAGTCAACTAAGTACACCATTGTCCATAAAAAATTCCTCGACCCAGAAAAAAAAATGGACTATCTTTGAAGCATGATCTTGATATTCAAAACTTTTGAGATTATTTACCCCCACCAAAGAGATGAAATTCAATGAGTATAATATTATCTGATTCCCAAAATACCCTTGATTATACAAACAACGCACTTCAAAGACATGAAAGCTACTTACTCTTGAGGTCAAGAACACTCTCGCATAAAAAGGACCTTGTTATAGTGGATTAACATTCCAAAGTTGATATTTTAATAACATTTCAGACACACAATTGTAAACAATAAACAATAGATTGAACGAATATATTACAAAGCATTGATTCTTAATTTAACCTTGAATTCAATGATGAATATCAATCATTCAAAATTAATGATATTTGTTACCTTGCAAAAAAGTTTCATCATAAAAACTTCACAAATCAAAAAAAACTACACTTAAGAAATTAACTGGAGCATTTTCAAATTGAAGTTCATCAAAATCCTTTTTTAAAATCTTTCAAAAATTTTCGATCTATGCCAAATATTGGCAAAGATGAGAAAATTGATCATATATTCTTTTTATGAATTAATGAAATCAGTTGGTCTTGATTCTACTTGTTTTGACTGCAACAATAGATATGAATTTTTCAAAATTATTATTGCTCATATAATGTTGCAAAATATCATTGAAGATAACTTCCTTTCAAGTTCATTGATAATGTATATTAAGAAAGATATGACAATGAAATTAAAGGTAGAATTAATGGTAAATAAATTTCATATGATGAAAGAGTTTCAAGGAGAATTCATACATCTAGCTATAATTATTAGATTAAAAAAAGAATTCCTTTTGCATGTAGATTGTTCTTATTTATAAACTTTTTATTTAGTCTTTGTTTATCTATTTGTGTTAGTTTAGAAAGTCAAACTTTTAATTTCTTGTATTTTTCATAATTTTTCATTATGCCAACCCACTCTTTAAACCTTGGTACCACCACTGTATATTAAACAAACACCACACTTTCCACGGAATCAGTATCTATGTTGTTCATAGAATAATTAATGGTATCTAGGTTTGGAAGCAAACAAATTGCAAACCAGCGAAAAAAAAAATGTTTTCTTAAAAAAAAAAAGCAAACTTAAAGTTGCCTGTTGATGCTCTGAATTGGGTTTTTATTAAACAAAATAATTGGTTCTCATCACAACCATGGAAGAGGTGAAGCACATTTTTTCTCAGACTTCACACACAAATCAAAATTATAATAGCAATGTTTTAAATACTAAATAGCAAAAAGCATTAGCAAAAGAAAGACTGAAAAAAAAATTCAATTAAAAAGATATTTATAATCCATTTCTAACTAGATATAAAACTGGAGATTGCAATAAACCAAAAAATAAAAAAGCCTAAGATTGAGAAAGTACAGGCCATCTATGACCCATCTCACACTCTTCTTGTCATATTGGCAGTCCACTCCACTCCAGGGATGTTGTTGGGGAACACATGGATCACCATTCCAGCCAAGACGAAGTGGAAGACCCAGTGATGCCTTTAAAGTTTGCAAAGTGCTGACTATGAAATATAAAAGAACTTCAATTAGAAGCATCGCCAGAGTTATCTTCATGTAATCGAGAACTAATCAAATAACATTTCTTTACTATCATAATCATAACTGTTGTTATCATTTATAATTAATGTAAAAGTCAACCAAATATGCTAATCAATTTTTCAGTTTAGATTTTATTTGAAATCTATCTTGGTTTCATCTAAAACCAATCGATTTTTTCAATTTTGGTTGTTACGTGAGCTTTGGTAGAGTTCGACCAAAAGTGAAAAGCTTCACCATAAAATTTTGGTCAAAACTTTGTTGAAATTCTCAAGCACGTCAGAAGTCTCATAGAAAGAATAGAGCAAGCTTTCATGCATGTAGTAGTCATATTCCAAGTTCATTGCTAATGAGCTCGAACCATTAAAAATTTGGAAGAATTACATACATACCACTCTATTCCAACATATTTACATATTAACACCTAAAAATCAAATTTTGCATACATGCCTCCATGCGTGAAAAAATGTATTTCACTTTTTAAAAGCTAAAAGAATGATATTTTTATGTGATATGAAAAGTTTTGGTGGTATAAATGTAAAAAACAAAGTTTAGGTGTTAGATATGCAAATTAAATGTAAAAAACACAAAGTTTAGGTGTTAGATATGCAAATACATAAGAATTAGGGAGCATGTATGTAAATGCCCCTAAAAAATTTCAAATAAAAAGTCAACAGTAGTGCTATTATTGAGACTTCTCTACAAATTTACATTCATTATGCTAATGTTAGCAGAAGTGTATGCGAGTCCAGAAATCACTTATTTACTTTAAACATGTCTTTTACATACTATGACTCTTTTGTGTAAATCAGAAGCCTGAAATCATATTATAAAATTCAGGAGTAACAGTTATAATTTTGTTATTAGGAACTTATGTGATTTAGTAAATTTAACAATTTTAGATTATATATAATCAGAAACTGAAATTCAATTAATTGAATATAAATACATTAAATTTCAAATTCTAAATCATGAATATTTTAAAATACCAAATGAAAGAATAATATAATTCATAACCCAAACTATTGAAATAATTGAAGCTATCAAAACTGTAAATTCAAAGATATGTCTGAAACCGAGTTGGAAACCCTTGTTGCTAATCTTCCCACCCCCCAAAAAAGAAAAGAACAGAACAAAAATGGAAATATTACAATTATTTTCCAGTAACTCAGATTGAAATGAATAAAGGTCCTGCTAAGTGTTACTTTGTTGAAGATTGATGAAGATACACCCTGACAAAAAGTTTCTTATTTTCCTTCTCTTTTTGTTTTCATTTTTCTTTTTTATTTTTCGTTTTGCCTTTTCTTTTTCTTTCTGTGTGAAGTACATATAAAAGGTTCGCTTATTTAATGAGCAAAGACACTAATGAACAATACAAAGCAATATGAAAGTCCCTCAAACAAAAAAAAAGCTCGTAAACATCTATTGTGCTAAAAGATGAAGAATGTCTCGGTCAATGATTTGAAAATTAGTTGCTAAAATTTTTCAGTATTCCGGACTTCTATAGTTGTCACGACCCAGTTTGGAGTTTGGAATAAATCAAGACGGGGACAGACGGTTGGACGGCGGGAACTAAGTTTTCGATATTCATTTACTATTTAACAAATGAAAGAACCACTAATCAAATAAAATTAAAACAATATAATCAAATTTACATCGTTCCCGATTGTTAGCATCTTTTATAAACATTATCCCTTATACAACTCATCTTTCAAACACTTAATTAAACCCAAAATATTCGTTTAAAAATAACAGTGAGTTAACAAAGTCAGTGAATATTCATACTCCTAAATTACAGTAATACAAGAGAAAAGAAAGTAATATGCATGTCAGTTAAGTTTTTAATAAATCAATAGAAATATTTGATGTTATTCAAAAAATCTTACTATATCAATATCGTTATATATCCGTACAATTGTCATAAGAACACCGTCTAAAAATTATATTGGTTAAGGTATTTCAATATTAATATCTTTTTTCATTTACAAGCATGGGTACCTTAGCGTTCCCTTGCTAGTACAATAAAGAGGTGACTCCATTCAAGTCAACCATACACATACAAGCACACTATAAAAATATTACTTTCTAATAATGAATATTTCTTTTTCATTTGCATAGCAATTAATATTCTTGTACATGATTCAATGATTAATTAAACAAAGCTAAGCACACGTCATTCTTACAATATGAACAAAATTCAATAGAATAATAAATCATGGGTATGCAACACTATAACAATGATAGTAAATGCATTAGTTCGAGAAGAAACAAAATATTACCTATAGCAAAAAATTATGAGTGCTCACCTCAATTTTGATTAACTTGTTGTTTAATTTGTCAATACATCGATTTTTAAAATTGGAAGCCTAAAAATAAACATGATATAAAATTTAATTTATTTATTATTTTAAATAAACTATTAATGTTTCATTATTATTTAAGTATTAAATTTTCATTATTTTACTTTAGTGATCTAACTTATTTTTCTATTCAATAAAAAGAAATATATATAAATATCTTTATAATATTAATAATTTTATTATTAAATCAATTTAAATAAACATTACCGTCTTTGGTCAAATCCTATCCACGCGAGAGAAGCTCCCCACACAACTATCTTCTTCCTACATGCGAGGGCTCGGCTTCGTCCCTCTCTCTACAGCATGAGCTCATCTCTTCTTCTTCCTTCCTCTCTACACTCTAGATCAGAATCGCACGAGGACTCTTACACAAAGCCACGACATCTAGTTCGCTTCGTCTCCTTCCTCCTCTACTCCTAACTCGCCTAGCTCTCTCAAAGCTCGACGACATTGTGAGAGAGTCTCAACATCATCTCTGCCTTCGCACGACATGGGAGTTGCTCGACGCCTCCTTTGCTTGACACAGACGTCGACCCCTTCTCCTTTGTCGTCCCCCTTTCCTTCGCACGCTGCTCGACTTTCAAGTAAGTTGATCTCACCTTTGCCTCCCTCGAGCGCATCCCTTTATAGATTGAAAGTAAATTTTGGTTTCCCGACTCCTCGCTTCACCTCCCCTCTTCAGCTTCCCAACTGTTTGATACCTCTCCCTCTTTTGACTACCCAACTCCTCACTTCCGTTCCTTCGGTTTCCTCATTTACTCACTCCTAATTAATAAAAATGGGACGTTACAATAGTATTGTGCAATCTGAAGCCTCTCTGCTATGCTTTATAGCTCTAAATCTACATCTTGTCGTGTTACTTTACAATTTTCATCACTTTGCAAAATATAGCCTCTCTTGCAAACTGTTAACCAATTGAAATGCCTGTCAATAAACATTTAAAGCTCAGCATAAAGTAAAATTATGCAAATCAATGATTGTGAAGAAGAGCAAAATATATTTCTCAGATTTATTTAGCCAACCGGTCCCTAGCAATGACTGAAGAAATAAGGCTAAAACCAAACAGGACAACAGTTGCAAATATGCAAGCTTAATGCCAAGAAAATATTGGGGAAAACAAAGCTAACAGTGGTTGAAGAAATAAGGCAAAAGCTAAATAGTAAAACAATTGCAAATTTGCAAGCCTAATGCCAAGAAAATAGTGGAATAAAAATGAAATTAAGAAAAAAATAAGGAACAGCAAAACCAATTCCTAAATGCTGAATGAGTAGTGAAATGCACAAGTTAATTACCAATAACATTGAAACTTAACATAATAATTAAACATGCAGATAAACAAAGAATTATCATAAAGCAATTAAAAACAACAATAGTCCCTCGCTAAGGCACACATACCTTCCTCTGCTAAAGTTCTAAGCTCTGATGGAATAATCTCAAGCACTTCAATAGCATTAATAATGGCATACCCTTTCGTAGGGTGCAAAATAATTGTTAAAGTCCTTCCACTAACAGAAACAGTCCTATTTAGGACTAGTGCAGTATGACCTTCTCCAGTCATGCGAATAATATCAACTTTCTCAAAAATAACATCACCATTCACCAATATATCAAACACCCTTTCTTCTTCATTTGTCACTCTAGGATCAATCTCTGCAAAGTGAAACCATATTGAGTAATTTTTACTTGGATCCACATCAATTTCAAATGTTAGATCAGGTTGCCGGTCGGTGCTTATGATTGCCGACTGATAAAGCTTTTTTGGATAAAAGTTAGGCGGAAGCGATGCTTCCGCTATGCTTTGTTCCGTTGAGATAGATTGATCAGAGCCTTGGCTAAAAGATAAAGCACCAAGCCAAAATCTATCACCACCCCAATGATCTCCATTATAGTCTTCATCAAAGGCAGCCTTTCCAGATCCACAACTTAATCTCTTGGCGGTTCGAAGCACCATTAAATTGCTCCTTGGTCGACCGTAATTATAAGAATTGACATCTACTTGAAGAATTTCGATAGAAAGGATAGAAGGATCTCCATGACCAGTGCTGTGGAAACAAACACATAAACTTCTCTTTTTCACAAATATCAGTGCTTCCATAAACGACTGGTCTTCATGGTTACTCCAGCCTGGTTTCATGGAGTATGTCAGAGTGCCATCTACAGAAATATCAAAAACTGGCTCATTTTGTAGGTCTGCATCTGCCACTAATGCAAAGAATATCCTCACAGCATAGTGCCCATTAGGAATTCTGTTGATGTTGTAACAATTTTCTGGACCATCAGATAGAGGAAAGTGGCGAAGTGTTTTAAGCGGTGGAACAATAGAACTTGTACGTGATGCATTTGTATATCTTCCACCGGTGTAACCAAAGTCTCGATACCATAAAGTATTTGTTGGTTTGGTCCGGATGTCCTCACGAGCACCACAACTAATGCGAATTGCAAATGGTTCTGCATAACCAGAACGATTGTAAATGCTTTTAGAACAGAGGGAGGGAACGGATAACAGGAAAGCTTCAGCTTACCATTCAACAGCAATAGACAAGTTTGGTGAAATAGACTCAGGGCAGTTACACTAGGTCAAAAATGACTAAAACTGCCTCTAGATTGCTAAAAACCATTTAGAATGTATTGAAACAATTAAAATAAAAGGCAAAATGAAAAAAAAAAAGTTATAGGAGTAAAAGCAGGAAGAGAGCATGGAACACATTTTCACGAGATGGAATCTAGTACTTTTCATTAAATATTGAAATTAGAAAACTGTGGTAGGGAATAAAAGAAAACACAAAAGCAATAAACTAAATATGATGCATTTGGTTAGAGATGTGATTGCCAGATAATTGCAAGCTGCAAAAAATTTCATATTGAGGAATGTAAAAATGCCGGGTTTATTCTCACATGTAGCAGGTAAAAATATATTGATATCAAAATACTAGGGGTTTGCCCTCACCCACAGACTTAAAACTTTTGGATTGAAATGGGTTTGATTGTCGGTATATCAAGCCCAACTTTGGCCGCCTTTGCTTTACACTATCCAACGCATAGCATCAAAGTCCTATTTGCGACCAAAGTTTCTCATGCAAATTGTGCTCCAATGAATTTTAGTGAATTTTTACCATGATGAAGCATGGGCTCAAATTTTTAAGTAAAAATAGGTAAAATTGTTGGTATACCAAGTCCAGCTTTAGTCCCCTAAGGTTCATAATCCACAATAGAAGGTATTAATATCAAGGTTTCACTGCGATCAAATGTTCAAGTAGTTTGTGGATCCAAAGATTTCTAGTGAGCACTATCATGATTGAACAATGTTCAAGATAATTGACTCCCACAGAATGACCACATGATTGAGTGAGCACTTAATAAATGATATTTTATGATGTTAAAAATTTTGTAAAAGAGAGATTTGTTAATACAGATGAAAATATTAATTTCAGTATTGTATCTGACAATAGGAAAGAATGGTGGCATAGAAAATACCAAGTGTTATACCACGCCTATAGGCTTAAGATTTTGGGTGAAAAAAAATGTTTTGCCCAGTAGCATATTGGGCCCAACCTTGGCCACCTACTAATCCAAGTTCCCAAAACTAGTTGCAAGGTTAAATAGAGGGCGACGTTCATGCTAGCATCATATGATTAAGTAAGCTCTTGATGCATGACACTTGTCCAATCAAGAGAACTTTCACATGAGAACGGGTTTGGCCGAGGCATGTAAGAATATGGATTTAAACCCACATCACATAAGTGAAAAATATGTAGTAGAAATATTAGTGATTCGCTCTCGCACAAGCTTAAACTTTTGAATTAAATGAGTTTAACCACTTGAGCTGATAACTTTGGCCTCCTTTTGATTCATACTCCCCAACAAGTCACAATATCCCAAACATAGGACAATGCCCAATGAAGAGGCCATGGAATAGTGAAGAAGGCTAGAAGATGGGAAAGGGTGACAAGGACATAAAAGAGAATAAAAGAGGAAGGAGACATAGATAAGAGTAGGATAATGGTGACAATACCTAATGAGTAGCGGTGATGTGTGCCAATGAAATGTGAAAGTAACTAAGGGAAGTCAAACATAGGATGCCCAATGCTGGCCATCAATCACCACTTTCAATTCTCCTGATAATTTTCTCCATAACAAACCTAAAGCTCTCCTTTCTCTTATATAATGCACTTACTGTATCGAAACTATTTGGATTGTTTTTAATAAAAAGCTATTGAGTTGTCTTCCTTTTATTCTCTTCTTCCTTTGCTCATTATTCTTCATGGTATCAAAGCTACCATAGCGTCATGGCACAATCTCTCTTCTCTCTACCATGGCCTCATCCGCTACTGCTTCCTCCAACGAACACATCACAAACTAGCAAGCTCAACAAGCTCTACTACCATGTGACAACCCCATGCCTACCCAATTGAAATTCATTCTGAGCAACATTCGCAGTCTCGTCTCCATTCAACTCACCTCCGACAACCACCCGATCTGGAAGGCACAGGTCCTCAATTTATTTTGAGCAAATGGGCATGATAGCTTCCTTGATGGTTCCTTCTCTTGCCCAACAAGACACATTCTTGATGCCAACGACACTCCTCTTCACAACTCCTTTTTCACCAAATGGATGCTTATAGATCAAAACCTAGTAGTAGCTCCCTACTCTGTCATCTCTTCACCTATCCTCCCTTATGTATTACCTTTGGATACTTGTCATGACATTTGGATAACAATCGAGCGCCGACTTCAATCCTCCAATCGTTCCAGGATCATCTAACTGAAAAAAGAGCTTCACAACCTCAGTATGTTGAACAAATCCATTAACCAATATCTCTTCAAAATCAAGGCGAAGGTCAATACCCTTGCAGCCGCAGAAGCTCCCCTAAATCTGGAAGCATGATCCACTACACCCTCAACAAACTGCCCTCCACAAAACCGCAATCTGCACCAACCACCAACCAATCTCCCTAGACGATCTTCACACACTACCATTCAATGATGAAATCAACCTCACAAAAGAAACAGCAAAGGAATCATTTACCTCCACAGCCCTCACCATCGCAAGGGTGGAAGAAATTGCAACTCCACCTATACATCTAATGACACAAAAAATAACTCCACCTCTAGCCCAAACCAAAGCAAATACAACTCCAATAGCAACAGCAAACCCCCCACAGTTTGTCAAATCTGTCCCAAGACGAGGCATGAAGTCTTCAAGTGTTGATTCTGGCATGAAAAAAGGATGCCAAACTCCTACAACACTTGTCACCCCAAATTTCGACTCAATTGCCTGCAAATGGTACCTCGACAATGAAGCCACTACTGAACCAAATCATCTCATCCATGCCCAAGACTACAAAGTAGACAACACCATTATAGTCGGGAATTACCAACAAATTAACATCACACAGATTGATAAAGGGATCCTGCCCACCCCTCTAAGTAAGCTATATCAATCTCACCTACATCACATTCGAAGTTTCGCTTATAACCTCATCTCCATTCACAAACTAATCCAAGCTAATGCCTGCTCCATTACTTTTACCTCCAATGGCTATTGTATCAATGACTTAAAAGACAAATCGCACCATACTTAAAAATCACTACATTCATGGACTCTAACCCGTCATCCCTCCAGTCACCAAGCACCCATCAATATCTTTTGCTCTTATTTCAGTTCAATACATCCCACAACTCTGGCATCAACAGCTTAGACATCCATCATCTCAAACACAATCAACAATCACCTCCAGAAATTACTCTTTACGCATTTCCTTTGAATACTTGCATTGTAATTCTTGCAAACTAGCTAAGAGTCATAGGCTTCCTTTTTTCTGTATCTACTACTAATACCTCCTCTCCACTATAACTAATTCACTCTTATTTATGGGGCCCTTCCCCACTTTATCTCTATAGGCTTATAAATACACTTTGGCTTTTGTTGATGAATACTCTAGCCATACATGGGTCTATCTCCTTCACAACAAAAATGATATAAACTAAAATATTTCTTGAATTCAAATCAATGGTTCAAAACCAATTTCCATATAAGATCAAAACTATCCGCATAGACGGTGGCGGGGAAAACATCAATAACACCTTTCACAACCTCCTTAAACAATACATCCTACATCAATAAACATGACTCTACACACCCGTACAAAAAGGTGTTGCCGAATGCGCACCATCACCTCATTGAAAAAGTTTGCACGCTCATGGCAACCGCAACTCTACCTCCCCACCTCTAGGTCGATACACTACTTACAACCTCCTATCACTGCTTACCTTCCACCACCATAACCTAGTAGTTGGTTTGAGGAGTAGTGGGGGAAGAGTGACTGGTGGTGGTGGGGATTGTGTTGGTTTATTGGAGGCTTGCTGAAAGGGAAATATTTGTTTGTTGAAAAAAATGTGGTGAGAGACCACCATCTACTACCTTCTTAGAATCACCTCAAAATATTTGACTGCCTATGTTAACCCTGGCTCCGACCATATACTGAACACAAACTCTATTCCCCATCCATACCATGTATATTTCCTGGCTATGCCACCTCTCAAAAAAGATACTGCTACCTCGATCCTAACACAAACAAAATCTACATCTCTCACCACATCTTCTTCAACAAACAAATATTTCCCTTTCAGCAAGCCTCCAACAAACCAGCACAATCCTCACCACCACCAGTCACTCTTCCCACGCTACTCCTCAAACCAACTACTAGCCAACACTCATTACGTCCTCCACCGCAAAAAACAGCCCGACACAAACACCGCACCACCCAACTCTCTTATCCCCTCCCATATTACTCAAATACCAAAACAACCAACACCCATACCATCCCCCATAATACTGCCAACCACATCTCTTCATCCCATGCAAACCCGCCCCCAAACAACCACTCTCAAACCATGCCAAATGCTCAACCTCATCTACCAATCTCAAACCGAACCAACATGCTACTCACCTGCCATCAAACATCAGCACTGGCGTGAAGCCATGTCCACTGATATCTGAACCCTACAATCTCAGGTAGATGGTCCCTTGTTCCACTGTCACTACACCAAAACGTCCTTGAATGCAAATGGACTTATCATACCAAACTGAATTCTAACGGGTCCATACTTGTTACAAAGCCCGCTTGGTTTCCCAAGGCTTCAAGCAACAACATGGCATTAACTATATTGAAATATTCAGTCTCGTTGCCTAACTCCCAATCATTTGAGTTCTCATTACCTCATCGAAACCATTCAAATGTTGCAAACTCGAGGCTTTGTCGATGCCACTCATCCTAATCATGTTTTTCTCCTAAAAAAGGCCCTGTACGGATTCAAACAAGCATCATGCCAATGGTTCGTTGCACTCTAGAACTACCTCCAAACAATCAGGTTTCAACCCGATTCCGCTGACCTCTCCCTCTTCCGTCAAAACAACCTTAATCATCTCTATGTGCTTATATATGTCGACGACATTGTCCTCCTCACCGGGAGTGATCCCACCCTCATCCAATCTACAATTCACAAACTACATACTAAGTTTCACAGAAAAATCTTAGTACCCCTATCTCACTTTCTTAGCATCAAAGCTATCAACACCTCATACGGTATTCACCCATCCCAACTGACCTATGGTACAAAAATACTAAACACAGCCGGCGTGACCAACTCCAAACCTGTTAAACATCCCCTGCTCCCCCGAACAATCCACCACACTTCCCGATCTCACTCACATTTCAAAGCCCACGCTATACCAACAAATTGTGGACTCTCTTCAACACCTCACCTTAACTCGGCCAGAAATCTCCTTTGTCATCAACCTCACCTCTCAACATATGCAGCAACCCACACAATCGTACTTCCATCAACTCAAGCGGAACCTTCGCAACCTCAATGGCACCAAAACAGTCGGCCTCCCAATCTACATATCACATCTCACACTTACAATCTACACCGACTTCGACTGGCCAGGGAATCCTACCGACCGCAAATCTACATTTGGCTAGTGTGCTTTCCATGGACGAACTCCTGTCTCTTGATCTGCAAAGAAACAAGTCACCGTAACTCGACCCTCCATTGAGGCCGAATATCGAGCCCTTTCCTCAACAACTGCAGACATCTTCCAGCTTCGACAACTAACCGACTTTCATACACCTCAACTACAACCAACCATCCTCTATTGCGATAACAAATCCGCAATCGCCCTCACCAACAACCTAATCTTCCAAGCTCGCATCAAACACATTGTGGGTAATTGTCACTTCATCTAGAATTGCATCAAACAAAATCGCCTCACCATTCATCATATAACCACGTAAGACCAGCTCAAAGATATCTTCACCAAGGCACTCTACAACTCCAGATTCCAGCAGATCAACTTCAAGCTGACACTTCCAACTGAAACCCTCAGCTTGAAAAGGATGTAACAACCTCTGCCGTATGCAGCTGCTGCCCACCTTCAACTGCCATCTGCAACAAGAAAAATCTGCACCGTCCAACAGCAACCAACTAAATCAGGGCCAGTCTCTCCATAACTAACCTAAAGCTCTCCTTTATCTTATATAATGCACTTACTGTACTGAAACTATTTGAGTTGGTTTTAATGAAAAGCTGCTGAGATTTCTCCCTGTTATTCTCTTCTTCCTGTACTCATTATTGTTCAATAATAAGATCTACTCATTTGCACACAACCCCGGCAAACACCTAATTCTTTCTCCTGAGCCATTAATAAACCATAAAATGGGCCAAACTCACACATCTCATATAACCTTGGTACCTAATTTTCAGCTCCAATCCATCTTAATATTTTTCACTCATCATAGTTTGAATTGCAACATTATTAGAACACCACACCCTCAAGCAAACAATTCAAAACATATAATCGCCATCTGAAATCCAAGTCCGGAACTGGTTCGCTAGAGCAATCAAAGAGTAACCGAGAGATAAAGAAAGACGGAGAAAGCATAAGATTTTTCCTGCACATCCTAGGCCAAGACAAAGGATAGACTTTACTCATAGAACATGAAAGAAGATGAATCAATCCTAGCAATCCATCAGAAACTCCAAGAAAGAAAATCCCATAAAAGGTAAGAATGGCGAGAAGAGTTGTACACTTCGAGTAAGCAGATATAGCGTTAGCCTATCCTTAAGGAAAGCAATTGGAATGACATATATGTATGACGGATTACTCACCATTAGACACAGCAGAGGCCACATGAGCGGCAAGCACGAGAACGGAACTGACAAAGAGAAGCCAGGTAGTGGCAGCTACCTGCATCCTGAAAAGAACTCCCTTGCAGCTTGCCACCTTCCAGTTCTACTCTGGCTGTCTCTCTCTAGAGAGACAATAACTCAAACCCTAATCTCCCTATCGCCTCTCTCTCTCTCTCTCTCGTCTCTGCTTCTTTGCGGGCTTAATGCACGACATTCTGATCCCGGATCTCCGTGACAAGCGCGGAAAAGCTGATTTTTTTTTTTCTTTTCCAGCAAACTGATTTTTCTCCCGTGGCGATGCATATCTAAAATTTAATTAACTAAGAAAACAAAATACCAAATATTGAAGAATGGAATATTGACTTTATTTTGCCTGTTAATATATAGTTGAAATTGGTTACATATTTCTCCCGTTTATTATCTTGTAAAGTATTCACGAAGTCACATACAAAAAGCTTCTAATCAACCTAGAAGTGAGAAAAGAGCACAGTCTACGATAATAAATAGTAAATAGTAAATTGTGTAACTTTTATTCATGAAATGAGCCTTTTTTTTATAGATAAGGAGTTGACCGAATATCATTTTGTGCCACTAGTAAATGAGGGTCAGTATGAGGTATTTAGCACAATATACATTAAAGAGGTCGGGAGCATAAGAAGGTGTCAGGTCACACACGGGCGTCCGTTTCCTGCATGTCTGTAGATTCCTCCGTCCGGCCTGGTTGAAGAGTTATGTGGCAAAAGTCATGTGAAAAGTTCGATCATGTTACCCTTTGAATGGACCGTTGACCGCCGCTCGGTGAAAGGATTGGATGTCACCCAACTCGTATGAACAGAGTGATTAAGTGTGGGCTCTTGGGCTATTCCTGGTGGGCCTCAGCTTGCCACATCATCCTATTTGTTGATTGTTGGATTTTCTTAGATTCATGTTGACTTATTTTTTGTGTACACATCTCTTCATCTTCCCAACGAATTTTTCATCTTCGAATATTAAGATATGCTTCCACAAAAATGCTCAAATTCGAAGTTTTCTTCTTCATTTCCTTCTTCAACTAGCTCTTCAAGTTTAGTGATAAAATTAGAAATCACATGCTTGTAACTAAGATATTCAAATCGTTTTGTATTATTGTTCATACTTTAGAATAAGGATTGAACAACATTAAAAAAATCTTCAAATAATATTTTAAGATTGTTTGAACAAGATTTAAGAAGATTGGAAAACTATTGAGAGAATGCTCAAACAAGACTGCAAGAAAGTTTAAGCAAAATTAAAGTATAGTTTTAACCTGATTCTTACAAGTTTTGAATATAATTTGAATAATAATTGAGCATTATTTAAATATAGTTTGAAAATTTATCGAATTTTTTGAAATATGAATAAGCATTATTTGACCGGGTTTTAACATTGTTTGAGTATGATTTTGGTAAGGTTTTAATAAATTTAAATATATGTTCAATCAAAATTTAAACATAATTTAATTTATATTAATTTATCGTCACTATACATTTTTTTATATTAACTCATTTGAATTATTTTATTATGTTGGAAGATATTTACACCGATCATATAAGTTGAGAGTGCTCATATGTTGAGTTGAAAGTGTGATGGAGATGATGGTTAGATAACTTATGGCTATGATTTCATCATATTGTCAATATTAAAAGATATCTTTTTAATAATTAGTTCTTAACGTGTCTTAAGCAACAATTCTTTGGAACCCTAATTTATCATTTGTTAATAAGGATGTCTGGTAATAATGATAGTGAAGGCTACTCCATTACATTTAATATTATAAGTAATGATATAATATTTAGCATTGTTGATTTTGCTCTAACCATTGGGATAAGGTTTGAAGAATACCTATTTCGGCTCCTACGTGCCCATTCCGACGCCTAGGTGCCAACAATGATTATGGACGGGTTCTAGATGCCCCCAAGGAGTTATAAGGCACATTTTGGCAGCTAGGAAGACACCTTTTGGCATTTCAAACTCTCAAAACTTCCAAGAACGTCCAGAGGTCATAGATAGGATAGAAGAGGTAGATTTTTACCTTTTCTAGAGATATCTGTGAGGGATTTTGAGAGATATTTGAAAGGAATTGTGGGAACTTTGCATGGATCAGCAGAAGATTTTGTTGGAGGGATTTTCATTTCTTTCAGAGGAAAAATCTAAGTATTTTGTTCTTCGTTATCTTATAATTTTTATAAACACTATTCTAGTAAATTTGCTTTCATTTAAACAAAATTTTCTGTTGTGTTTTTGTCGGCACTATTTTTGGTGTGGGGTTTGCTCGTAAGAAGTTGTCGGTCATCGGAATTGAAATCCCGTTGCCCGCTTCGGAAGGACGTTTTTAAAAAATTTAATTTTGAAAAAGATGAAGTCAAACTGACCCCATAATTTTCATAGTTTAGATGAAAGAGCACTTTATCTCAAATCATGTATCTATCCCGAAGGATGAACGCAAGAATTGAGAGTGAGGCTCGATCAAATAAACTAAAGAAAGGGATGACATCCGGGTGGGCGGCGAAACCAA